AAAAACACAAAAATATATCCAATTAAAATTACAAAAAATTTCTAAAAATTTCTGTCTTCAATTTTATTAAAAAAATTATTATTTTATTATGGTTATTTATACATTTACAACTACAAAATGCATTTTTCAGTGTTTTCCTTACTATAGTTTTTTTTTTTTTAATGAACAACTTAGCTTTAATTTGAGTTTGTTTTTCGTGTTGGAACGAATTATTTGGTTTTACATGTAATCGTACGGGGAAAAATGATTCACCTTATGACATTTTCATGATATGATCTCAGTTTCGGAACGGATTAATTTCGTATCCTGAGATACCACTGTAGTGTCAGAAATATTTTCTTTATATTGCTATGCATTTTCACGTACCCTGAACCAATTTTGTTTGTTATGTCACTAAGCATTCCAGCCAAGAAATCACAGGATATTTTTCAAAAGCATGATAAATTTGTAAAAATTATGTTAAAATTTTATACTTAATAAACTTATACAATTTTAAATGCCTATTATTAAATGCTAAATTTGTAATTTTAATGTTAAAATTTTACACTAAATACACTTTAATTTGGTATACTGTATATGTTTCATATGCACCAAATACAGTTAACATTTTTTTTGTGTGTACATGTATGTGTCTGTAGTCTTTTTCATTTCTTTTATGTATCCTGACCAAAATCGTCCTTGTGTCAATTAAATTAATACACCAATCCATCTTTACACATAATCTCATTAATTCAAACAACCTACTATAATAAATTAGTATGTATTAGCACTGTAAATTGTAATATCTTGCAATTTTTTAATGGTTTTGTAGAAAGCCAATTGTAATATTTTTTGGTTTTCTGTTTGAGTTTTATTGAATATTATCTAGTTTATAAAACTTTGCTAATGAGTGCTCTATAGTTGTAATCTCAAATTACAATTGGAAAGCACTCAAGTAATAAAATTTTCTTATTTAATTACATATCACTAATAACACTGAATAAATTAAATGTTAATTTGTCAAAAATTGGCTCTCTTAATATAATTTAAATTCCTTGTTTATTTTCCTTCTAATACAGGGATGACACACTTTTTAAAGTCTATTTGCTAAATATTTAATTTTAAAAAATATGCATGTTGTTTTCAGCAGGAAAATCCTCAATCGGGTTAAAGTGAGAATTGTAATCTCGGCCCTAATTATATGATGAAATTAAATTTTCAGTGCCAAAATAACAAAAAACATTTTGTATTTTATTTTAAGAAATAACTATTTTTAGAATTGATGTTTCCTAACTTTCAAATCCAAAAGTCTATAAATAATTTTATCATCATCCAATTCATTTATTGCCTGATTTTCAATACTTGGGCTTAATAAACTACTCATTTTCGTGGGAAATTTTATTCAGTTTTGGTATTAAAGGGTGAAAATTTAATTAAAATTTTAATGCTGAAAATGATTATATATATATATTTTTTTTTTTTCTCTTAGAATATGTAACATTTCTTTAGCAGTATTTAACCTTTAACTTCTAAGTAATGAATAATAAATGAAATTGATGAGGAATTTATTTATTATGTCAATATCTTCTTTATACCATAACTTTAAGTTCATGGTATAACCCAAGAAATGTTTTCATCAGCTAAGTTTGCGGAAAAAAAAATTTAAATATACAATACTCTTGCTAATCTGGCCATTCCTTGCACAGATGAATGCTGGATTACTGAGAGATAAGACATTAAATTTAAGGAATTAAACTGAAATGTACCACATCTTTCTTTTCCATTAGCAATGGAGTCGTACTGGTCATCTATTTAACACCTTTCAGGGGAAAATTTCTGAATTGAAATAATATGATTTCTGGTTTGTATCAGAAGTTCATATATAATTAATTGGGGCCTCATGCCCCTAATGTTTCCATATCTGGTCTCATCTTTCATTTATCTAACTCTGTTCTCGTGATTAAGGAAAGATGGACAGACAAATGACAATGGGAATTTAAAGGTCTACAATTTTTTTCAAATTGAAGCCCAATTATTATCTCATTTATGTCATTTACAGTATTGAGAATTTCTAATTCTTCGTTGGCCCCTTGGAATTTATGGGCCCGAGATGATTATCTTTCTGTCTAGGCCATAATCTGCCACCGCTATGAGGACCATTTTAACCCATTAAGGGTTGGACTCATAATGGGACGGTGGACGATGAAGGATGGACCAAATATATCTGGAGGACTACACTGCAAGTAATTTTAGTAGATAAATTGGTAGCTTAGACTTAGAGAATATCAATCTCAAATTCTTGCCTTTTATTAAATGAATATAAAAGCTTTTAAAATGCTTTTTATTATTTTTGTAACTTAGTAAGATAAGATGACAAGACATACTGTTTTTGGCAGTACAGTAGGCTATTATTTGGACGAATTTTCATTTATTGATTATCCTAATGTTTATTGTAATCTGTAATATATATTTGAGCATATTTATTACAGATGCAAACATGCATATATTTGAGCATGCATATACAGTATATGCAATCATTAAACAATTTTCAAGATTTAATGCCTTCTAAATTTCTCAATTATTCTCATTAGAATTTCTCTGAAAACAAAACATTTTGAGAAACCAATTTGATTACTTGTAGAAAGTTTTTCAAAAATTACTTCAGAGGTATAAAATTGCATAAGACCTTTAATAATTTTAATAAGAATAACTTTTCACCTGCGAAAACAGAAATTTTGAAAACACACAAATGAATAACTCCTTTGACTATTGGTAAAAAGAGCATATTTGGCATCGCTCAACCATTAATATCCGTTCACCAAAATCCTTATTATCTGACTGGAAACTTTACTCCAAATTCCATGTTTACATGGAAAACTCTGGTCAAAAGCTCTCGAATCCAATTCAAATGATGAATTATAGAAAGACCAGTTGGATAGTTCTTGAACCACCACACAATATTTACAATTATCCAATGAGGATGAATACAAAAAGGATGAATACGAGAAGATGTTAATTCCAGTTTAAAATTCATCTATGATATCAAGAAAAGTAGTGATCAATATGTGTTCAAATGGAAGACATTTTCCATTTACATTTGTGAGAACCGAGGGGGTTAGTTGTCCCCACTTACCGGCGGCTCTCTATGTCGCGACAATAATTTGTCTTTCATACGAATCATCTAATCTGTATTCTCTAAGTTAAGAGACAAGAGAGAGATCTCTAGGAGAGAGATTTTGCAGAGAGAGAGTATACAAATAGATATCCAAAAAAAAAAAAAATATCTCTAAGTTCCCGATCCATACTATGGGTCGTTGGTAAAAACGTTCCTAGATCGTCACAGCAGTTATGGCGAGTTAGCGACGGATAGGGTGACGGTATGGCTCAGTAGATGTGGCAGTCGATGTCCACCATGGAGGTGTCTGCCTTGTGAATGTCCGCCTTGTGGACTGCATCCAAGCCCTCTTTATACTATTTTTGAGGGGGTGAGAACTATGACATCATTAATGATTTATACACACACCTGTTCGTGTGTTGATGTCTGAATCTAGCGTGTACAGACAACCGACACAGAGAAGTTTGTTTAATTTATTGATATTGGTGTCTAGAAGATATGTTTTTATAATATAAATTTCTATAGGTTTGACGGCTCTCATCCATAAATTAACATTCAGCTGGCAATAATTTTTTTAACCTGGTCAACTATCTAGATATTGTTTATATAAAACATCGCGTTTGACTACGAACAAGGCGATTTATTGCTGTAACCACGTGTCATGTGCAACCGAAGAGGGGGTAAAAAACATCTCTTATTCCCGTCTTGTTGATATTAACGTCTATAGAATTACCTTTAAACAAATGGAGGAGATTTCTTTTATTGATATACTAACAATTTTTTTTCGAGGAGATGTCTCGGTCATCGACCGCAGAAGGCCCCCCTTTTTCCCTTTTCACCTAATCCTGAGGTTTATTAGAGGGGTAATACGGATCTAAAACAAAAGGGTTTTGGACCGTCACACATTTTATTCTAGAGGTATATATCTCTTAATTAAATAATAAATCACATTTTACTATAATTCTATATATTTCAATNTACAAAATATTTTTTCTTGGCCATTTCATTAATTTATCAATAAAAACTAGAATAATATTCAGAGGCTATTGACTATATATTATGCTTAGTTTTTGTCAATTATATTAAAAAATATTCTCGTAAAATAGTTTTACTTGCATTAAAAATGGGGTAGCCACAACTGGTACACAGGTGGGCCAGAACTGGTGATTTTTGCAATATTTTAAAAAATTCTAAATTTCATTTATAAAATGTGAAAATTAATAAAAATTAATATAATAAAGTGAAAGAGAACATTTCTAAGAGAACAATTCTTCTACGAGAGGGATTTCCTCCATTTGACTAGGCTGTGCTCTGACGCAGCTGCTATAGTTGCAATTAGAACAAATATGAATTACCTACTAGAAACATAGCACAGCCTTCTTAATAAAATAAAAGAAACGTATAATTATTCTTTACAAGTATAAATATACTTTATATAAACCCATTAAAATATATACAGTACGTGTATATCGATGAGTAATTAAACGCGAATGAGAAGAATGGTAGAAGATGACGTCACGAAATTTCCCGGCAGAAATTGACAACATGTTTGTAATCATACATTCGCGCAGTATTATCGATCGGTGAAATGTAACTGAGTCTCATTTGTTTCGTAATAGTTTGAAAATCGTTGTGCTAGAATGACAAAGTAATAGTGTGTGAGACATAGTCATGAATATACATCGCATACTAAACATGTTCAAGAAGGATCCAGCCTGTGGATTTCCACTCGATGATTTACCCGAAGAGATTTTAATTACTGTGTTTTGTTTTTTGCCGGTAAAAGATTTGAAGAATTGTTGTTTAGTTTGTAGAAAATGGAGAGATATTGTGACTTCGCAAACTCTTTGGAAGGAAAAATGTGAACGAGATAAAAGAATTTTACCTTTTATTATTTTCCAAGAGCTACCCCATAACTATTATTTAAATATTTACTTAAAAAATCCTTACGGAAGAAATCTAGTCAAGAATCCATCGGGAACTGGTATATTTTAGGATAATTCTGGTTTAAATATAATTTTTAGACATAAGTAATATTTTCCAAGAGCATGTAAAAAACAAAAACAATTTTTTCAATATCTTGTATTTGGAAATGTATTTTCCTTATTATTTTTTATAGATATTATCTATAATCTATCAAATTTTTGAATTTTAAATATTAAAATAGAATAATGTGCATGCATATGTTCTAATTAAAAAAAAAATTAAAATCTACTAAAATTGTGATGGATAATAATATATTTTGATAAATCAGTTTCTTAATCATATTTATAATTAGTCAATAATCATGGCTCGTGGTGCATATTCGAAAGCACACGTGATATAAAGTAAATAACAAAACGTACCCAGATTTTGTTTCTGGACTATTTTGTAAATATAAATATTTGTAATTAGAATTGACTTTTTAAAATTGCTTACTCAAAGTCTAATAACTAATCTTATAATGAAACTTTATTGGAGCATTAAATTAATTAGCCTAGCATTTCAATGTATAATAGTTATCTAAAATTGAAAACAAAAACAAGCTATCATTTATAGAGTTTTTTGTAACATGTATATATCACTTGTTAGTATAGATTCCCACTTATATTTTGAAAATTTGCAATAAAATATTAAAGAACATAATCTACACATTAAAAAAAATTTAGATTTATAAAAATTTTATTGAAAAATATATCAATCTATATGTCAGTTTAAAAAGTATATTGAACTTCTTGATTATTATTCAAGTTTTGTCTACATAATATTAGTGTATAAAGTTAGAGGTCATTTACTATTATGTGCTAACGAGTTCTAGTACAAATAAAAACAGTTTCATTTCAAATTTATTAAAAGGTAATATTATAACAAACATTTTTGATAACAAATAGGTAATAAGGTAGATAATTTGCATTTGTAATATTCAAAGTGTCTATCAAGTGCTTTAATTCTTTACCTCCACTTTTCTATAGTTGTAAGGATGTCTTTAGTAGGAAAGGCAGCCCATTCTTGCAGATGGAATTTCTTAAGAGCCTCAGCAATTGTGTGGAACTTATTGTAAAGATCTTTAGCTCAAACTTTGACTGTATGGAGTAATCTAATGGGTTTAGGTTGAAAATGCAACAAGCCATCTTTCCTTCAGAAATGAAATCTGGAACTTTTTCTTTAACCATCCTGTATGGTTTGACAATTTGGGCTGAAGTGATTGTATTAAATGATCTTACTGAAAAGTTCAAGTTTGATTTTTCAACAGTTTTATTCAGTTATTTCTCTCACTGCTTTGAGAATCTTGATACAAAATCAAGTTATGCTTTTTCTTGCTGATTGGTCCCGCTCATCTATGATACTTTTCTAAAATGGCAAACTCTAAAACTTCTAGACATAGAGGAATAGCTTTCACTGATTTGACATAGATGAGGTCATTTTTTCTTGTTAAACTTTTTCCACTGTAAAATTTTTTTCATCTGTGAAGAGAATAATTTTTCACATTTCATAGTTCTGAAAAAGTAGTGACAGCAAATTAGCATTTTTCTCTTTTGAGCCTGCATCAAGATGTAGTAGATACCATATTTTAAAGTCATAAGTCTGAGTGTAATTTTTTATTGCTAGATGAATGTCTTAACATTCATCTGTAAGGCCAGCTTTTTTTTTTATTAGTAAGGATTTCATATTTGGTTTATCAAAGACAAGCACCTTTTATTCCTCAAACAACCACTCAATACTGTTTGTTTTCTACTATCTTAATGGTACAGTACACCAAATTTCTTGTAACATTCCCAAGTTTTAGTAGATGAAATTTTTCAGATTTATTCATTCCTTGAAGAAAATTCTGCAGAATTGTCTTATATTTTTTTGTAGTTCTTTCATGAATAGCAGAACAAAGACTGCAACTTGTTACATGTAACATTTGAAAAACATTCAAACTGCAATTGGATCAAAAAAAATTTAAATGATGCACATGACATATGCATGAAAAACCAAGCCAAATTTGGTACCAGAACTTATTTGCATGCTAGGTAGAGCAAAAACAATCAAATTTTATCATAATATTAGTTATTTTTGCTTCTTTGTCCTTACTATTTTTCTTTTTTGTATAAATATTGTCTACTTGGACCTTTTTTATTAATAGGACTTGTTATACTGGTGAAGTTTCTGATTAGCAAAGAGAGATCTTAGTCAAAAGTCAAAACAAAATATCTTTCAAGTGAAAATAAAAATATTTTGTTTTGACTTTTGACTAAGATCTCCTCTCTTTGTACATCAGAAACTTCACCAGTATAATAAGTCCTATTAATAAATAAGGTCAAAGTAGACAATATATGCACAGAAAAGAAAAATTGCTCATTATTTGTTGTTTATTTATTATTCGTAGTAATAATTTTCATAATACTATATTTGAAGTTTTAACTTTGAAATAAGAGTTCTGTAATTGAAATAAACCTTTTCCAGCTGAAGATTACTAGATCACAATAACAAAATACATTTCTTTATCTATATTAAATATCTTGGGAATTATATATTTACATTATTAATAGCCAAGAAATGAATAATTAATAAAATGGTCATGTGATATGTTTTGTTATTAATATTTTATTTTTGACAGTAGTCAAGAAACAGATTATGGTAGAGTATTATTAGTCTTTCATCTGCTACATTAATAATTCAAAAAAATTATAATACCAAGCAGACGAATTAATGTAAAGTATTAAAAATGCTAAATAAAAGCTAGTTTGGTGTCTAAAAATTTTCAAATAATAACAATTTCTAAATACTTCATGTTAATTTATATGTTAAATTAATATATGTAAAATATAAATTCTAAATACGTTTTTAAAATTTAGATTGTTTACATAGTATGGCTATATAAATGAAAACTAAAAAGTTCAATTAAAATTTGGATTGCTTATGTAGGCAAAAATTACTATTGTATGGGAGTGTTGCACAGTTCCAAGCTGTATTGTGATGAAATGCTACTGCATCCTCAGTATTTGCCTGGTTTTATTAAGTGATTTATCTTTAAATGACATTTACTCAGATGTAAGATCAGTGTGTGAAAGAATGGTTCACATAGTAATAAGAAGACTTCCATGTGGAATCCATGAGTCCTGACCCTATTGGAGATTGGGATAACATTTAATATTGATTGGTTTCTGCTATATAAGCAATCAAAATTTTTATAATTTTCCAGTTTACATTTTGGTCTATTAATGCATATTTTATATCTCAAATCTGTGGTTTAAGTTTTTCAAATATAACATTACAGTTTAGATGTAGATTAATTCATCAAAACAAAAGAAAAATGTTGCCAAATGATTGCCAGTTTAAATCAGGCTACTTTACCGTACTTCAAATCCAGCAATTGTTTGGCTTTATTATGAATATCAGACTCTGAGATGTTTATATATGTATAAAAATAACTGAATTTGTAAGATATTCTCAACATTAAGATTTTAATGTGACATATTAAATGGATTTGTTGTTTAGTAAAAAATATGTAAATGAATAGTAATAATGACTGAATTAGATATTTTTGCTATATTTATGATAATTATTGTTAAACTGGTAGTAATTTCCTTTTGCTTTTGTTCACTTAATGTAGATTCTCCAAAATTGAACAGTCCAAAATGATTTTAAAAACGAGAATACATTGACATTAGAATAACAATATTAAATTGTATAAAGTTTAGAAGATCACAACAAGTATCTCAAATCTAATATTTTAAAAAGTGTTAGTTTGTTGTCATGTATTATTCAAAGTATATTATAAATTTTGATATTATTTATTTTCACAGAATGCTGCTATAATTCAGTTTGCAAAACTCTGAACTTGAATATTTTTTCAATAGTTTCAATGAGTCTCAAGTACTTGATTGTGTTAAACATTCAAGNCATGTATTATTCAAAGTATATTATAAATTTTGATATTATTTATTTTCACAGAATGCTGCTATAATTCAGTTTGCAAAACTCTGAACTTGAATATTTTTTCAATAGTTTCAATGAGTCTCAAGTACTTGATTGTGTTAAACATTCAAGAGTATTTAATGAATAAATAATAGATGTTTAGAAAGATGTTAAACTTTGAAAGATTATTTAAGTCAAAATTAAGTAAAAAATGTAAAAGCAGTTTTTTTAATTTAATGAATAACTTTTCAAAAATATGCAAAAAAGATGCTGTAATTTTTCATCTAAACATATTTACTGATGATTCATATTTAAATAAATTAGCATTAGTTTTTGTTTTTGTTTATGTTTAAAAATCAAACAGTGTATAATTAATGGAATGTAAATTCATTCGGTTATAAAATTTTCATAAATGAATTTACATTGCAGTAATTGTTTTGATTAGATAAAAAAAAAATAATCATCATATTTTATTAATTAGGAAATATTAAAGATGAATAACCTAGATAATAGAAAATGATATTACTTTTTAAAATTTTTTCCATAACAAATTGAAAAGTTGCTCTTTAGACTTTTGCTTAGATATAAAGAAAGGAATCATCATTCAGACTATTTTCTGAAAATTCAGTTAATAAATATTATTTTAACAACATTAATAATATATAGCAAACATTTATTGATCTTAATTTTTGATTAATACTTAAAATTGAATGACTGGTGTTTTCTTTTCGTATTTTTAGCAGGACTTTCCTACTGGAAAATAACACATAATGACGGAGAAGGATGGAAAGTTGAAAATCCTCCTCAAGGATCTGATCCTGTTCCAGATACAAGTATGAATACTTTAAATATTTTAAAAATTTTAATATTAAAAAGTATGAAGAAATAAAACTATTTTCTGAAAAATAAGAAATGACAAATACTTATGAGTTATTTTCAAAAAATTGAATTTTATATTGAACATGATGATGGATTTCGAACAAGTAATACAATTGTGCAAAGAGAATACAGTAAAATATTTCTAGCAGAAATCTTCCAAAAACATTCAAACATTCATTAAAAAATATGCACCTAATATATATTTATGAATCCATTTCTGTTTGGCTCTTTGTACTAGCTGTCATAAGTGAAATTACAATACTAAACAATAAGAATTGTTCCAATTGGTTACCATTGATTTATTCAGTTCAGAAAAATTTATAAAATCATCAAGAAGTCAATTTTTTATAAATCTTGGACAAAAATATGATAAATAAATGTGTGTATTAATTTCTTCGTATTGTAATTTCCATCCATAGATTATTCCACTGATGATTGTGACATTAGGTTCACGTATAAACTTTTCAAGTTGTTTCATATAATTAGTCAATTAAGTAATTAAGTTTAAATTAATTTATTACTAAATTGCCAGATTATTTTTCAGGCTATATTTAATTAAAGCCACATTTGTATAAAGATTAATAATTAGAAATTCATTTTGAATTTAATTTAATATGTTTAAAAATTCTGTAAGAAAGATTGACTCAGACTAGATTATAATACATTGTGGATAGTTTTAGACATTATTTGATCATACAGCTCAAATAATGTTAATGTTGACACATCATTTACACTTTAGCTGATGAGACCAAAGTTTTTGCTTTACTGTAAGTGTGCTGAAAAACTTCATTAGATTTCTATATTTTTAGTTGAGTGAAATCAATTGTAACATCTTTAGAAATAATCTATTAACATTTTTATTCTTTTTTTAGATATCCAGTATTGTTTTGCTACATCATATGGTTTATCTGAAAAATTTCAAATTATTGATTTAATAAAAGAAGGAGTGCATCCAGAAGTTTTGGATCAGGCTTTACTTGATATAGAAATATCAGAATTGTAAGTTTTGAATTTATATACAGTAGACCCCCTCTATAACACGGGCTTGTATAACATGGCGAAAAAATTGCGATCGTGTTTGTATAACATGCTAAAAGAGACTCGTATAACATGGTAAAACATCATCGCCGACTCATGTCATGACAGGATTGGTCAAATCTGAACCAATAGCAGATATTGCACAAACCGTTGAGTTTAAACGAGCAGCAGACCTACTAAAAACAATTTATTATTTAAAGGCCATAAAAATTATATTTATATTAATGATGTCTCCAAAGTACAGTGAATTATTCGCAGAAAAATAACTTATCAGGAAACATGCACCCGCTGTTCGATAAGCCGCTCTGCGACAAAAACAAGCTTAAGCAATGGCATCGTCAAACGGTGCACACTCAGTAAGTAATCCTACAATTTTTTGTTTATAGTATAGTTTATATGGATTATTCCCAAAAAAATCCAAAAAATTAGTCTAGAATCAGTTAATTTTATGGAAGAAAACCTTTCAAACAGCCGTAGTCTATAAACTGCACACGTGCTGGGCTGTGATTGGCTCATGTATTTAAGTGACTCGTACAACACAGAATTTATATAACACAGAATGTATCTACTGTGTTATAGGGGAGTCTACTGTATACGTTTATTTATTATAAGAAGATAATGACAATTATATTATAGTTTTTGATATATAAAAAAATTAACTTGTGTTTAGAATGATGTATATACAAAACTATAATTCTTATAATGTAAATTTGTTTAAAACATGACTGATATTGTTTTTAATTAAAATTAAGTGTTTTCTTTTTTATCTTACTTGTTTTATTGAAGACAGCATGTATTGTAATATTTAATGGAAATGTGAAATTTGTTTAATTTGCAATTAGAATTTAATTAAAATTGAATTAAGTTTTTTTTTTAAAAAAAAGGCTGAAAGTTGAATTTTATTTTATATAAAATATTTCTCAGGGAACATGTACTGGTACATCCTTCTGGCTACCAGAAGAATGAAAAAATGTTTTAAAACAAACTATAGAATAATTTTTGAAATTAGTCATTTGCAAAGCAAAAACATAATTAATTTTCTACATAAAATTGGGAAGGAAGATTTACTTCCTTCCCAAAATAAGATAATATTAAATATAAGTAGATATTAATAGGAGGGAGTGGGAACTTTTTAGGCTTGAAATAATTTTTACTTTCCTGGCTCTGTTATATATAACAGAGAGAAAGTATGGCAATCTATCAAAAAATTGATTTTCTGACTGACCCCCATGATTTTATATTTTTGGATTTTGGATCTTGAAATGTTGAGAAATGCAAAAAAATTTGGGGAGTTTTTCTGTTTGTACTGTATATAGCAGAATTTTTTCACTCTCTTTGAAGCTTAATACCTTCTGTGCTTTTAGTGAAAAATTTCTGAAATTTTACAGACATGGCAAATTTTGTGTATTAGATGGATAGATGCTATTAAATTTTGGCAGTTAAAGGTTGAGGGGTGGGGAGATAAAGGAGGGTCGTGTATATCATATCTCGAATATGGTGGACTTAATGACAATTTTACTTATTANACTCGACGATTCTGGAAATTAAATTGTCTCGCCTTGTACAATTTTTTATAAAACCCATCCCAATCTCAAAATTAAGCTTTCTGCCATTTTATATTAATTAAAAATATAAAAAGTGTTTTAATAAAATATCATAACAGATGGTGCCATATGCAGTTTTAAATTTTACTGAGAAAGTTAGGCAAACTTGTTGCTGCATTTTTAATGAATAGTATCCTACAGCAAATGTTGGTAGAGTATGAGATTACATTAAGAATTTGTTAGCCAATGATCTGGCAGATAAAATGTGGGCTGGTTAATGGGATTAAGTTGAGTAATTAATAAGATATTTTGTATAAAAACTTGTTTTGAATCAAATATATTTTTTAAATAGAAGATCTCTTTGCAATATGGTAGGTATCAGTCTTGTAATATATGCTTTGTAAGCTCAGTATCCGTTTGCCTTTTATTAATGGCCTTTTTATGTTCTAACATTGTCTAGTTGTCACCCTTATGTAATGCAAGATTGAATTTAAAAGAAATTGTCAATTATCTTTTGCTTTGCACATGACAGTAATTTTAAAAACTGTTATATAGTTCGTTCTAAATACTTTGTTCTTGTGATTGTTAATAATAATTAAATTCTTAAACTGCTACTTGGTTTACAGCTTTACAGAAAATATTCATATGACCACTGTCTAACATGTAAATAAAATTTCCTAAACTGGCAAAATTTTGTTCACCTTACATGAAATTTAATACTTGTGACTTATTAAGAACACAACTGATGTGATTTGGAAACACATTGTATGTAATTTTCTAACTGACATTGTAGAAAAGTCTTTCTTGCCAGATAATTTAATATATGAGTACTCTTTGCAGTAAAAAACACATGCAAAGTAAATTATAGAAATCATTTGGACTGTTTATTAAGAAAGTGGTGTAAGTCCATTTTTCCTTATGCTGAGATATTTAGGAATTTGCATTTCAGTTTATTCAAAAATATTGATAATCTTTATTAATTTTGCTTGCATTTTTATGAATTTAAATGAATGTAAATACATTATACAAATAATTTTTGAGGATTAATTAAACTAAACATTGCTTTTTGGGCCATAAATGGACTTACAACTAATAATGCAACAAATAGTATATTTGGCCAGGAGCGTGGCCAAATGGTTGAATATTCGGCCAAACTATTTGGCTTGATTAACACACGTATGAAAATTGGCGCACAAACTGCATTATGGCAAGGATCGCACACCCTGCTCTCTATTGGTCCACTGTCACTACGCTTCGACAATCGCGTTAATTCTTGACAGTTGTAGCAGACAGACATGAGCATCATCGCAGTATGTGTTAGGTGATGATATCAAATGTGGATAACAATGAAATGACCTACATATGTAAATAATGGAAAAAGAACAGAGAAGGACTGCAAAGTGAAAATGTGAAAATAAATATGAAATTGAGTTGATAACATAATCAAACAAGTTGAGGCAGCTTATTGGCATGAAATTCACAGCCGTCAATGCCAAATAATTGCTCTCATAGACTTCAGAAAGCTAAATACTTGTAATGAAAGTCACTTAGCATGCACAGGCGAAAGCCTGGGGCTGTTCAGGCTACCAAGCTGTCTGGAACTTCAGTTATGATAAATAATTTTGTACAATGAAACAAAAAAGTTAATCTAATTTTCAAGTTTATAATAAGGGATGATTTCATAAAAACACTTTCCAGATCATTAATTATTATTTTTTTCACATTTTATGCCTAAGTTTGATCTAATGTGCCCATGCAGTAAAAATTTTCATACAAATTTTTTTACCCTTTTTCACCCCTTTAGGGTTGAATTTCATAAAATCTTTTCTTAGAATGCCTAAACTTTACAAAAAGAACATACCCTCAAATTTTTAAGTTTCTAGCACCATTAGTTTTGGCTCTGCGTTAATTATCCTATCAGGACTTGTTCTTTTATATACAAGTAAATAGATGACTAAACTACATAACAAGTAGGTCGTTTTCATTTGATTTGTTACCTTTTTTTGATCTCTTAAAAAAATAACTTAGTTATATTACTTTTCCTTTGATCTTTTACATAAATAAGCAAAAAATTGCACTTTCTCAAACTTCAGTATATAAAAGTTACCAAAATGATTAATTTACTGTGTTTTTGTTATTTTTTACTCCTGTTTTTAGGTATTCAGTATTTGGCCAAATAGTGATTACATATTCAGTATTTGGCCGAATAGCGAAACATAGGGGGAATACCGAGTAGTAATCAAATATTCATTGCATTATTACTTACAATATTTTCATAATTATTAAATCTTTAAATTTTAATTATTTAACTTTCACTTGAACTAGCTATGTTTATAAATTAGAACAGGAAGCAAAATACTATTCTTTAAGTATTTTGCTTCCTGTTTTAATTATTACCTTTATTTATTTACTTATTGTTAAAGTATATTATGGTTAAAGGTTAACATTAAATTCTGTTTTTCATTTTTGGATTGTTACATGGAAGTATTTTGAACTGTTTATGATATAAAGAAGGTACATAAAGAAGTAGCTGCATTATATCCTTAGATTTTTCACATGTAATGGTTCTAGCATTTTTATATAGAATTGTTCAAAAGTAATGTACCAGAACATGGTTCCACATATAATGCATATATATGACCATATTGGGGCATAGTCAAGGAAACATATAACTTATGTATTTAAATTATCATAACACATAATCAAAAAGATATACTGTTTCAATTAGTCTGTGTCATATCATAATAAAATGGTTAAATACGATAGTGTTTTAAGTCATACATTCATTAAATAATTAACTTATGATATATTTTGATGATTACATGTCATGATGATTTACATTATAAATTACATGTTTCCCTGATAGTGCTCTATACAGGATTACTTTTGAGTAATCCTATATAAAGGTGTTAATGTGATGTTCTCAAACCACGACAGTCTCCCTAATCTAGTTTGTGATAAATCTAGTTTTAAATTTTGTTTTCTACTTCAACATTTAATAGAAAATTAGATATTTTTTATAAACTTCTTTGTATTACATTGCAAATCTAATTGTAAAATGCCACAATGTTACTCTTTGTTAAAATTAACAAAAATACATGGGATTAAATTTGTTTTATTGTCTTAATTTCTAATTTAACATCTGAAAAAATGGAAATTATAGTATGTAATGATTATTATTGTTATGGCAATTTTTTGATTTATAGAATTCAAATATAGTTTGATTATGATTGCTATTTTCCTTCTTCTGATTCTTTATCAATATCTACATAGATAATTAATAGCTTATTTTTTGTTACATAATCAGTAGTAATGCAGTCATTTTATTCAGCTAACTGTACTCTAAATATAATTTTTATTTATATATTTGAATGAATTTTATGTTTTAACTTAGAATTTTTATCCTATTACACTGACAAGTAAGTCTACATTCTGTAATACTTCTGTTTATATTTATAAAAACCAGTCTCAAAAATATAACTATTATGTATGAAAAAATTTCTTCAAACATGTATATATATATATATACAGATGATTTTCTAATTATTTAGAATACAGGGAAAATATATATATATATATATACAGATGATTTTCTAATTATTTAGAATACAGGGAAAAGAATATAATTGATTAAGATAAAATTCATTTAAACTAGTATTGAAAAAAATTAATGCTAATGACAAGAATGAATAACACATTAAAGACTATTATATTGACAATACTCTGTTTTATGTTCTATTTACATATGAAATCAAAATTTCAAATTTTTGTACTAAGAATTGTTTGTCTTAAATGCTACTGTCATTACAGATGATAATCTAATAATACATAAAACTTCTCTATTGGCCACTCACAATAATACATATTAAAAAAAAAATTGTATCAAGTTAAATGATATGAATTTTAAATTACTTTAATGTAAATTAGAATATTATAAAAATTCAAAAAACTTGAGTCTAGTGTAATTGATACATAGAAAATATTCTGTTCATTCATAAAAATACTATTATCATTTTAATAAAAATATTTGGCTAAATTATGTAAAGCTATTAACTCATAAAAGTACAATAATAATAGTCATGCATAATACATGATCAGTACATCCTACTGTACAGATTTTACACTAAACCTCTTCTAGAAATTTATCAACAAATTATCCAAAAATTTTTAAACAGAATTTCTGGTTAAGAATTTTTTTGGAATTCTGCACAGTAGGACATATTGATCATGTATCATCATGCAAATAAACAGATTAGAAGCAATAGATTAAAAATAATAAATTTGTTTCAGTCATGCAGCTAGATTTGATTGTGGCAGTATATATACATTACAAGTCAAGTTACTAGCTAAAAATGGTATTGTATTAGAAGAATATAATTCTGGAAAAATTGAAGAAACTCAGTGGGCTGGAAAAAGATGGAGTCAGGTAAGAAATGATTTAATTTATATTTTTTAATATTTAGATTGAAATTAATGTAATAAGAAATCATAATGAAATTAGTAAGATCTATTAAAATGAAATCCACACTACTCAACACTGGAATACATTTAATTACGTACCTCAAAGTCTGTTACCAGTGTGAAATTAACATCAAAGAATGAAAAAACAGACTTCCACAAATGTTTTCAAACCCTTAATGGTTCTTCTTTAGGTGGCAAAAAATTTCCATTAGAATGCCAATAGATAAGAACATTATTCAAAATTATTTTATATAGGGTATTAAAGATCACAGATGCGATAGAGATCTCATTTACCTCGGCTCTATGAAGCACTCCTTGGGGGTTAAAATTAAAAAGCACATTGCGGACATACAGCTGGCCAGGACCACCACTGCTCTGGCCATTATGCAAGTGATCCTGACATAGAGTCAAATTTTAACCAGGCAAGAATCATCCTCACCACACCATATACGGAACATCTAAAGTGGTTGGAGGCCACTTATATCTACAAATCCAGCCTCAGCAACACCTGTGTCAACCACAAAGAGGAATTAAATCTGGATAGCATGGCAAGCACTAGACAAAGAGCTGTAAAAAATTCTCGTCAATTGCTACTATCTATAGTGCACATGCCTAAATGAGACGTCATTGGGTAGCATGTGTTCGAATTTTGAATAATGTTCTTATTTATTGGCATTCTAACAGAAATTCATTGATGCCTGAAGAAAAACCATTAAGGGTTTGGAAACATTTGTGGAAGTCTGTTTTTTCATTCTTTGATGTTAATTTCACACTGGTAACAGGCTTTGAGGTACCATAATTATCTATTAAAATGGTTGAAGATAACTCTGTACCAATGCCACTGCACCAAAATGATGATAAAAGTATAAAGTAATCTTCCTTTTTCTATAGTTTGCTATCCTCAGTGCCATTTTTTAAAAATTCCTATGAGGCCCAGGTCAGACACCTAATCTGACCTGATAACATTCCTGATCTCAAACTTGTTAAGAACAGTTGGCATATTATAGGCATGAAAACTGCAGAGATGTTTTACAAGAGTTTGGTATCATGAGTTTGATATATAATACTTGAAGAAACTTATCACTCTATACTGGAGCACTGCAAACTGTTACGGCTTGAGGTGATGCTATGAAGTATAAGAATTCTATTTGATGAGAAATAATAGTTCATGTTATGTTTCTTAGGTCTAAAAGTATGCTCTAATTCTTTTTCTTTTTGCTTCTAAAACTGAACAGCAATTTCTTGCAACAATGCTCATTAACAGTATTGATCAAGCTGTGGTGCAAAATAACACTCAATTTAGCATTATATATTATAATTTACATATAATAGAAATACTTTTTGTAAAAACAAAAGTTTTTACAAAAAGTATTTCTATTTATGTTTTCTATTTCTATTCTATTTCTATTTTCTAAAAGTATTCTGTAAGAACTTTTTGGCAGCCAAGATGAGACTTCTATCTCTCTGCTGACTGAATAATATAAAATGTTGTATTGCATATTTCAACAAATATCATAGTATAGAGAGATGATGCTATGCAATGATGTATCTACAATTAAAGATAGACCTTTATAAATAATAGTACCTTACAATAGTACTCCCTTATGCAGACTGCTGGTCTATAAATGTTACCCATACAATACCCATCTAAATGGACTGCTCTATTATCTGGCACACTATTAATGGGAATCCCTTTACACATAAAACATAGAGAAGAAAATCAGAAATGTGAAAGTGAACTCTCAAACAAACTGCTTTGTTATCTGATACTCTGTTAAGTAGGCACGACTGCATTTGTAAATTTAAATGGAAGAAAAAAATTGCTTATTCTCTTTGATCTTTAACAAAATTCTATAATCTTAATAATTATACATAACTTGATAGTTTGATTTTTAACATAGGATTGATCAATTTGCATAATTAGTAAATTGTATACAGAAATGAAAAATTAAATTTGTATAAACTTACATAATTTATGCAACATGGGAAAAAGTTGTAATGTTATTAAAATTTACACAACTCAACATTTTGTAAATTTTGATGACTGAGAATTCACATAATATACAGTGGTACCTCAGGATACGAATGCCCCAGCATAAGAAATTTTCAAGATATGACATGAAATTTGAACATATTTTTGCTCCACAATACAAACAAAAACTCACCATATGACGTTACATTAGTTCACAGCGCCATTTTTTATTCACTTTTGTTCATCGGTCTCAGTCCACGTGTTTGCTTCATCGTGGAAGGATCTCGCTCGATAAAGGAAATCTTGAGGTATTATTAGAAAGTGACTGATTTTATTGAAAAGGTTCCTGACAAGGTTCACACTGGCCGTATTGCTGCTCAGAGTAATGACATTTGCCTAAGTCATTTTAGAAACATTTTAAAAAGTAGGCAAAGCCAAACCTCTTTGGATAGATATTTTACCAAATGACCTCTATCCAGTGAAAGTGCTCATGGAAGTGAAGAAAAGAAAGAAAATGCAGTGAATAAAAATTTTTTAAAAATATATAAAACAACACTAATTTTTTAATCTTTTCTAAGTTATTTTTAAGTTATTGTTACATTATGTTATGTAAGTTAAGTTTTAGTATCATTTCCCTTCTCCCTCTTCCGCCACCAGTTTACACCTCCATCGTCGTCTATCCTCAAAGGTAAAGTGCCAATATAGCTACATTTTTTTAATCAATTATTATTCTCTGTAAATTTTCGTCCAATGGAGATTATTTTTTAAATAAAATTGAAGACAGTCTGCCCAAAAAGGACCACCGTTTATTATTTCCACAATACACAGACAATACACATTCTTGCAACTGACCTTTCCTTTTAGGCTTCTTGTTGCCAGAAGTTTAAAAAGTCCTTTTAAAAAACACAAAAAATATATCCAATTAAAATTACAAAAAATTTCTAAAAATTTCTGTCTTCAATTTTATTAAAAAAATTATTATTTTATTATGGTTATTTATACATTTACAACTACAAAATGCATTTTTCAGTGTTTTCCTTACTATAGTTTTTTTTTTTTTAATGAACAACTTAGCTTTAATTTGAGTTTGTTTTTCGTGTTGGAACGAATTATTTGGTTTTACATGTAATCGTACGGGGAAAAATGATTCACCTTATGACATTTTCATGATATGATCTCAGTTTCGGAACGGATTAATTTCGTATCCTGAGATACCACTGTAGTGTCAGAAATATTTTCTTTATATTGCTATGCATTTTCACGTACCCTGAACCAATTTTGTTTGTTATGTCACTAAGCATTCCAGCCAAGAAATCACAGGATATTTTTCAAAAGCATGATAAATTTGTAAAAATTATGTTAAAATTTTATACTTAATAAACTTATACAATTTTAAATGCCTATTATTAAATGCTAAATTTGTAATTTTAATGTTAAAATTTTACACTAAATACACTTTAATTTGGTATACTGTATATGTTTCATATGCACCAAATACAGTTAACATTTTTTTTGTGTGTACATGTATGTGCCTGTAGTCTTTTTCATTTCTTTTATGTATCCTAACCAAAATCGTCCTTGTGTCAATTAAATTAATACACCAATCCATCTTTACACATAATCTCATTAATTCAAACAACCTACTATAATAAATTAGTATGTATTAGCACTGTAAATTGTAATATCTTGCAATTTTTTAATGGTTTTGTAGAAAGCCAATTGTAATATTTTTTGGTTTTCTGTTTGAGTTTTATTGAATATTATCTAGTTTATAAAACTTTGCTAATGAGTGCTCTATAGTTGTAATCTCAAATTACAATTGGAAAGCACTCAAGTAATAAAATTTTCTTATTTAATTACATATCACTAATAACACTGAATAAATTAAATGTTAATTTGTCAAAAATTGGCTCTCTTAATATAATTTAAATGGAAAAATAAATTGCAAAATGATATTTAGTTATATAACTTTTTAACTTAAATTAAAAAATGTTTTTTTAATTGCATAATTCCTTTGTTTAATTAATTTCTCTATTGATTGTGACAAAATAAATGTTTACTAATTGTATTTAAATTAAATAAATTAATTTAGGATAAATTTTATAATTACTTTCATGTAAAATTTTCATTGAAATTTTTCAGGAAAAACATGTATTTTCAAATTACAAACCAGGAGTCAGATATATTAAATTTATTCACAGTGGAAAAGACACTCAGTTTTGGGCTGGTCATTATGGAAGCAAAATGTCTCAAGCGACTGTTAAATTTATTAAACGTTCATAATGTACATATTTAAAGAAAATATTGTTAAATATTTAAAGAAATATTTTTGTGCTTAATGTATATTTGTTATATAAATTTAGTTTTTACTGTTAAACAAATTAATAAAATTTTAAATAATAATGATATTAAAAAATGAATCAATTCAATAAGGTATTAATTACAAAGTTGCAATTAAAGTATGTTACTGTTATGCTCTAAATTATAATTGTTTTGTTACAAATAAATTATATTTGAATATTTTATATGTATTTTTATAAGTATTTTTTCAAATAAATTAATATAATTTAAATTCCTTGTTTATTTTCCTTCTAATACAGGGATGACACACTTTTTAAAGTCTATTTGCTAAATATTTAATTTTAAAAAATATGCATGTTGTTTTCAGCAGGAAAATCCTCAATCGGGTTAAAGTGAGAATTGTAATCTCGGCCCTAATTATATGATGAAATTAAATTTTCAGTGCCAAAATAACAAAAAACATTTTGTATTTTATTTTAAGAAATAACTATTTTTAGAATTGATGTTTCCTAACTTTCAAATCCAAAAGTCTATAAATAATTTTATCATCATCCAATTCATTTATTGCCTGATTTTCAATACTTGGGCTTAATAAACTACTCATTTTCGTGGGAAATTTTATTCAGTTTTGGTATTAAAGGGTGAAAATTTAATTAAAATTTTAATGCTGAAAATGATTATATATATATATTTTTTTTTTTTTCTCTTAGAATATGTAACATTTCTTTAGCAGTATTTAACCTTTAACTTCTAAGTAATGAATAATAAATGAAATTGATGAGGAATTTATTTATTATGTCAATATCTTCTTTATACCATAACTTTAAGTTCATGGTATAACCCAAGAAATGTTTTCATCAGCTAAGTTTGCAGAAAAAAAAATTTAAATATACAATACTCTTGCTAATCTGGCCATTCCTTGCACAGATGAATGCTGGATTACTGAGAGATAAGACATTAAATTTAAGGAATTAAACTGAAATGTACCACATCTTTCTTTTCCATTAGCAATGGAGTCGTACTGGTCATCTATTTAACACCTTTCAGGGGAAAATTTCTGAATTGAAATAATATGATTTCTGGTTTGTATCAGAAGTTCATATATAATTAATTGGGGCCTCATGCCCCTAATGTTTCCATATCTGGTCTCATCTTTCATTTATCTAACTCTGTTCTCGTGATTAAGGAAAGATGGACAGACAAATGACAATGGGAATTTAAAGGTCTACAATTTTTTTCAAATTGAAGCCCAATTATTATCTCATTTATGTCATTTACAGTATTGAGAATTTCTAATTCTTCGTTGGCCCCTTGGAATTTATGGGCCCGAGATGATTATCTTTCTGTCTAGGCCATAATCTGCCACTGCTATGAGGACCATTTTAACCCATTAAGGGTTGGACTCATAATGGGACGGTGGACGATGAAGGATGGACCAAATATATCTGGAGGACTACACTGCAAGTAATTTTAGTAGATAAATTGGTAGCTTAGACTTAGAGAATATCAATCTCAAATTCTTGCCTTTTATTAAATGAATATAAAAGCTTTTAAAATGCTTTTTATTATTTTTGTAAATTAGTAAGATAAGATGACAAGACATACTGTTTTTGGCAGTACAGTAGGCTATTATTTGGACGAATTTTCATTTATTGATTATCCTAATGTTTATTGTAATCTGTAATATATATTTGAGCATATTTATTACAGATGCAAACATGCATATATTTGAGCATGCATATACAGTATATGCAATCATTAAACAATTTTCAAGATTTAATGCCTTCTAAATTTCTCAATTATTCTCATTAGAATTTCTCTGAAAACAAAACATTTTGAGAAACCAATTTGATTACTTGTAGAAAGTTTTTCAAAAATTACTTCAGAGGTATAAAATTGCATAAGACCTTTAATAATTTTAATAAGAATAACTTTTCACCTGCGAAAACAGAAATTTTGAAAACACACAAATGAATAACTCCTTTGACTATTGGTAAAAAGAGCATATTTGGCATCGCTCAACCATTAATATCCGTTCACCAAAATCCTTATTATCTGACTGGAAACTTTACTCCAAATTCCATGTTTACATGGAAAACTCTGGTCAAAAGCTCTCGAATCCAATTCAAATGATGAATTATAGAAAGACCAGTTGGATAGTTCTTGAACCACCACACAATATTTACAATTATCCAATGAGGATGAATACAAAAAGGATGAATACGAGAAGATGTTAATTCCAGTTTAAAATTCATCTATGATATCAAGAAAAGTAGTGATCAATATGTGTTCAAATGGAAGACATTTTCCATTTACATTTGTGAGAACCGAGGGGGTTAGTTGTCCCCACTTACCGGCGGCTCTCTATGTCGCGACAATAATTTGTCTTTCATACGAATCATCTAATCTGTATTCTCTAAGTTAAGAGACAAGAGAGAGATCTCTAGGAGAGAGATTTTGCAGAGAGAGAGTATACAAATAGATATCCAAAAAAAAAAAAAATATCTCTAAGTTCCCGATCCATACTATGGGTCGTTGGTAAAAACGTTCCTAGATCGTCACAGCAGTTATGGCGAGTTAGCGACGGATAGGGTGACGGTATGGCTCAGTAGATGTGGCAGTCGATGTCCACCATGGAGGTGTCTGCCTTGTGAATGTCCGCCTTGTGGACTGCATCCAAGCCCTCTTTATACTATTTTTGAGGGGGTGAGAACTATGACATCATTAATGATTTATACACACACCTGTTCGTGTGTTGATGTCTGAATCTAGCGTGTACAGACAACCGACACAGAGAAGTTTGTTTAATTTATTGATATTGGTGTCTAGAAGATATGTTTTTATAATATAAATTTCTATAGGTTTGACGGCTCTCATCCATAAATTAACATTCAGCTGGCAATAATTTTTTTAACCTGGTCAACTATCTAGATATTGTTTATATAAAACATCGCATTTGACTACGAACAAGGCGATTTATTGCTGTAACCACGTGTCATGTGCAACCGAAGAGGGGGTAAAAAACATCTCTTATTCCCGTCTTGTTGATATTAACGTCTATAGAATTACCTTTAAACAAATGGAGGAGATTTCTTTTATTGATATACTAACAATTTTTTTTCGAGGAGATGTCTCGGTCATCGACCGCAGAAGGCCCCCCTTTTTCCCTTTTCACCTAATCCTGAGGTTTATTAGAGGGGTAATACGGATCTAAAACAAAAGGGTTTTGGACCGTCACACATTTTATTCTAGAGGTATATATCTCTTAATTAAATAATAAATCACATTTTACTATAATTCTATATATTTCAATTTAATAATTTAACATTTTATCAATCATAATTATTTAAATAAGTGTTATAAAAAATTATGAATTTGTGCTTATAATTTTTTAATGCTAAATTTTATTTAAAAATTTAAATTACGTAAATAAAGCAATTTTAGTTAAAGAATATTTAACATGTTTATTATTTACAAAGTTGTTTATAATCAATATTAACATTACTTTTTAAATATCATTAACTTTCTAACTGGTTTCCTTTCTTTTAATTTACCTTTTCTAATTTTGCAATAATTATTTATTAATATGTTAAACATTATTTGGACACATTTCATCAATTGAATTCTATCTTTCTTACAACTGCAAATATTATTTTGAAAACAAAATTCATTATTTTCAATTAATTTATTCATTACTAAGCTCACTAAAGCTTTCTTTCCATTTTTTAGTGCCAAAAATTTGCATTCATACTCATTCAGAATGGTCTGAAATATCTGAAAGGTATTTATGCTCTTATATTAACAACAAATTCTTATGGCAATTTAAGACCTCCTTTTGCCAAATCATTATCTCAGTATCCATACTCCAGTGGAGAATCACATGCTAGTAATAATTTACATTGTTCACAAGAAGTTTTCTTAATAACTGAATATGCAACATCTCCTGCAGTGTAAATCAGAATTGACATGTTCTGTTCTGTAATAATAATATCATCAGATTATTCTATTATGTCTTCAAATGCTTCTTCAACATCAGAATGAAATTTATCCAACTCTGCACTATTAGCACCTGATTCAAGAAATGCTCTAATTTGAAAATTCCCAATTTTGGATGACTTTTATAGTTAGCAGGCTTATTAATTTCAGTTTTCTTTCTGATTCAATAATTTCAGAAACAGAAATATAATACTATTACTTCCTGACATCTGTCTATACTGTGCAAAGCAAGCTTCCAGCATATCTGTTTGAAATTTACCCAATAACATATAATGTGAAGTTCATAAATTGCTTTAATTGTATGCTCTAATGCTTTTTGAGTTTCTACTGTTAATTTCCCATGTGGATATTTGAACAACCTGATGATTATAATTATTCTATACATGTCTTTTATTGGTTCAGAAAATTTGTCTTTTAAAATTTTCCATTTCTCTGGATGTTTAACATTGATTATTTTCCACAATTAGAGATTATATCAAGAAAGTAAGCAGTCTCCAGACTGTTTTGTATTTGCTGTTTGATTTTCATCTCAATGCAGCTATATTTTTTTTCATCAGATATACTGCAAGCTAGTGCTACATTCTGTCTCTCTAACTTTGATGGATAAAGCACCTTCTGAGACAATTTTGGAGCTAATTTAACAGTACTATTTTCTTCTTGAAAATATATTATTTTTAGGCAATGCAAATTAGCAAAACATATATCAGGAAGTGAATTATTATTATCAAATAAAACAGAATATTTTAACTCTACGTCGCTATCTATCTATAATTGCCATAGTTATAGTTCTTGCATCGGGGGCATCTTTGATGATTTTTATTTCACTCCGCCCTGTGGGCACTAAGAGGGCCTCTTTTAGCAAGCCCATTATGGATTCGGCCAGGCCCACAATGGGGCGACCGGGTGGTGAGGCACGGGGCCCGACATATCCGAACGGGCCACCCCCCGAAAAATTCGTTCCCGGATCCCTAGAGCGATAAGTTGCCACTTTGACCATCCGGCTACTATAAACAAACTTGGTTAATTAACGACGGAATATCGGAAGCGGCCATTTTATTTTTCGAGATGACGTTTTCTCTGGCTTGCAAATGATTGGCTCCTTAAAATTCGCAATTGCTTTTCACTTCTGTTAATGCAGATATTATATACTCTCTTATGTATTTTTTATTATATTTATTTACTTATTTATATACATTTTTATTTTTATTGTAAAACTGAAGGTGATAGTCATTTATCTTGTTATGATCGGCGTTATTTTTATATATAGTTAAATATTTGATTTCGAAGATTTAACGTTTCCATGTTCTATTTCTAAATATTCAATACCCTGACGTAAACGTTAAATTTTTAATAAAACATCCATGTTTATAGTGCATTTGTTTGTTTCGTTATATTTTATTTCTTTATTATTATTTTAAATTATTTTATTCAATTTTTATGATTATTAAAAAAAAAATTATAAAATTAACTATATTCGCGAAATTTGGCGTGAAATCAGAAGAGAATCGACCGAATATGGCAAATGTTGTATTAACCATCATACTTTGCGTAGTCCTTCCTCGTTGTCGTTGAAAATGGGTGAGTTAGTCGTTTCAGAATTCAATCCAATGTAATCTAAGTATAGAAATGAATTTGTCTTAGTAAATTTACGTTATTATTCTTCATTTATTCATTCTTACTAAATTATGTAAAAAGTTTATTGTTTTAGTATTTAAACAATAATTCGATTTCATATGCGCCACGAGTCTATTGTCTTTCTAGATTTAGCCGTAAATTCTTGATAATTTTATATTTATCAGGTATTTCTAGAGACCATTGGCATAAGCGTCGAAAGACTGGTGGAAAACGCAAACCTATTCGAAAGAAGAGGAAGTTTGAGCTTGGTCGACCATCAGCAAACACAAAGGTTTTCAAATATTTCATTTATTTAAATGTTTTTTTTTTATAGCAATTTATTATGTGGTGGTAATAATTTACCATAATTTTTATATTTTTCTTGGTATCTTTTCTTGTGACTATCTTAGAAAATATTGCCAGTAATACATTGTCTGATAATGTCCTTTTAGCTTGTAAAGATTGAAGTTAGGAATACAGCATATTGTTTATGGTTGAGAAATCACAAAAAGTAATGAGAGAAATGCTTTAATGGAGTAAATATAAATAATAGTATATGTACTTTCAAGTACTTTTGATATGCCAAATTGAACCAATTACTGTATTATTTATTGGGCTGTAATGATAATTTAACGATTGGAAATAAAGTAATTTGGTTGTAGGTAGATGGTTAGGCTGTTGCCTAATGGAAATTTAATTATTTGTTTAAATTTAGAATATGGAAGTGAAGATCAGACTTAGAAATAGTGTAATTGGCAATGCATTTTGGGCAGATAGATGCATTGCTTGGAAACGAGGACTTATAGATTTAAGTCTCACTCTGGAATCTTTTCTCTTGACAAAATAATTTTCCTCTTATCACAGGTCCTCAAAAATCACTGCCTTACACATCTGATTGTGAATGTTTTTTTTTTATTATTATCAAAGGATTGCGTGCATAAGGTGAGAGTTTTCTGCTTTGATGTTATTTTTTTGTGACCTGACATTTATAAATGATGTGGAAGTCTTAAGTCCAGTACAATAGAGTTGATGTGGCAGCTTTGGCATCTAGATGCTTTTTATGTCTTGTGACTGCTTGCTTTTTGACTACTGCCAATGATTGATACAAATTGGTGATCAACTGTGCATGAGTGTTGCTAGTCACCAAATGAAAATATCCAACAAGTTTGAATATGCTCTTTGTTGAAAAGTATAATCTTGAGTCTACCCTTCAATTTCAGGAAAATTTGCTTTAACATTGAGACTAGTTTTCTTTGATATCAACTCATTTGCACTGGGCTTTAGACCTCTCAATCACTGTAAGAGATGGTCATGATGTTGATGAGCTACACAGCATGACTTAATGATATGCAAGTGAGTAGTTTTTTTCATCCAGGATTCTTGTCAGACATACCTTAATTTCTCCTTCAAAGTGGCTCCTACATGTCCAGGGTAGACTATTGTGTTAATTGCCAAGTTGAATGCATTGTTTCATTGAGATGTGGTCTCTCTTCCAACTTGGTCATTGTGTCTTTAAGAAAACATGAATTGTCTTTAATATTGGCAAGTTTTTGCTTGATGCTGTTACTATCAAAACACTCCAGAGGCTTCTGAAATGCAAATAGCATCTTCAGGATTGAATTTTTAGCTACTTGGTGTATATATTGTAAATATTGTCATAATAGATGACAGCAGATAGTCATGTACTGTATTTGATACATCCAAGCAGGCTCTGGTGGAATGGGGACACTAGGAAGTATCCTGAAAAATTCCTGTTTTTATTTTGGAACTTTATGAAGACTTTTACTTTCCTGGCTGTTACGTATACGTAACAAGGGAAAGTATTGGAATTGTATCAAATTTGACTCTGAGTTTTATGCAAATCTCCACATTTTGAGACCTGAGTCAAAAAAAAAAAATTTTTCGTGGACACGTGTGTGTGTTGACATCTATTTTGCTTAATATCTCAGGATGGGATAAAGATTAGGAAATGAAATTTGGCATGGTGGCTTATATATGAGGAGCATTAATGCTATTAAATTTTTATGGTGAAAGGGTAGGGAGATAGATGGGTCATGTGTTGTATTTCAAGAGGGATAGGAAAGACTTAATGAAGATTGTATTCAGTAATGACATTTACACTTTTTTTTTCTTTTTTAATATAAAACTCACCCCTACCCCAAAATTAAGCTTTGCCATTTTATAGTAATTAAAAATATAAAAGTTTTTTTTAACAAAAACTGATAACAGATGGAACAAAACACAATTTTATTTGTTTGCTTAATAATTGTAAAAGATTTTTTTAAAATAAAAACTCATAACAGCCAGAAAAATTATGCAAGTCTTGTTGATAGATTATTTTGCAGTTAGTAATCAATTTGGCCCACCAGTGGCCAAGCAGTTCTATTCCTTGAACACTGGAAGTTTGGTCATGGGTTTGCACCTTGCCAGGACAGGCTGGTTTTTTGGGTTTTCTCCACTACTGTAATGCCTGAATAGGGGCAAGTTACTCTTAAAAAAGATCCTCCTAGGCAGATTGCTCAAGTGTTGCATTGCCATAACTTACAAAATAAATAGTAATCAATGTATAGGAAAAATTATGTGAACAGTTTTACAAATTCTACTAAGTGTAGGTACAGTACACACTAAGTAGGTTAAATGGATTGTTTTGGTATAAAAACACTTGTGTACTGGCTGCTTTGATCATTTGGCTAGCAGCATCAGATATGAAATGGTACACTCTATCATAATGTGTTCTGTTGGCCACAGAATTTTTAGTGGCTGAATGATTGATTGCTTCTATGAAAATTGTATGGAGCAAATATATATTTTCAGTTGCTGCCTCTGTACTTTCAAATGCCTTTTCAAGCACATCAACTTTCACTTTGACCAAATTTCTGCCTGTTGAATCTATGGTTTTGTCAACAGGTATCCACAGATTTTTGTTTGTTTGTTTTAATTGTATTAATGGTTTCATTGTACAGTACAGATCACTGATATAGTAATTTTGAAGATTTGATTCATATAGTATGTTTTTCATTTGTATATTACTGATGGAAATTCTTAAACACAGCATTAGTGAGTTAGTAAGATGTGAACTCTTGAGTGAGGGATTTGTTATCTTCTGCAAAGTAACTATGCAGGGGCTGACAAATCCCTCACTACTTCACTATGAGCAAAAAGTCAATGGTACCATACCTGTACATGTGATCCTTTGTGAAATATTTATTTCCGAAGGTCGGTTTTTACTGTGAACCAGTATCCTGCCTATTTTCCATGTTTCCTGTCGGTCAAGACAAGCAATAGCAAGCCTTGATTGATGCTCCATATGTAATCATGCACTGGGGGATGAGTTCCCTAAAACTATGCATCAAGTACTCCATGAAGTCAAGTGATTAATCAAGGCCTGCATATGCTAAATAGATAAACACGGTAGTCAGTGTAGTAACATGACTGGAAGTAGGTTGATTTTGGGGGGCTATAACTTGCAAAGGGTCACATGTAGAGATAGGGTTCCTTTTGACTTTTTTATTTTTATGGGTATGGTCTACAGCTCTGATAATGTTCAACCCCCTTCAATTTCAGGAAAATTTGCTTTAACATTGAGAATAGTTTTCTTTGATATCAACTCATTTGCACTGGGCTTTAGACCTCTCAATCACTGTAAGAGATGGTCATGATGTTGATGAGCTACACAGCATGACTTAATGATATGCAAGTGAGTAGTTTTTTTCATCCAGGATTCTTGTCAGACATACCTTAATTTCTCCTTCAAAGTGGCTCCTACATGTCCAGGGTAGACTATTGTGTTAATTGCCAAGTTGAATGCATTGTTTCATTGAGATGTGGTCTCTCTTCCAACTTGGTCATTGTGTCTTTAAGAAAACATGAATTGTCTTTAATATTGGCAAGTTTTTGCTTGATGCTGTTACTATCAAAACACTCCAGAGGCTTCTGAAATGCAAATAGCATCTTCAGGATTGAATTTTTGGCTACTTGGTGTATATATTGTAAATATTGTCATAATAGATGACAGCAGATAGTCATGTACTGTATTTGATACATCCAAGCAGGCTCTGGTGGAATGGGGACACTAGGAAGTATCCTGAAAAATTCCTGTTTTTATTTTGGAACTTTATGAAGACTTTTACTTTCCTGGCTGTTATGTATACGTAACAAGGGAAAGTATTGGAATTGTATCAAATTTGACTCTCAGAGTTTTATGCAAATCTCCACATTTTGAGACCTGAGTCAAAAAAAAAAAAAAAATTTCGTGGACACGTGTGTGTTGACATCTATTTTGCTTAATATCTCAGGATGGGATAAAGATTAGGAAATGAAATTTGGCATGGTGGCGGTAATGCTTAGGAAACACCAACGATTTTCCTCTTAATTATATTTTCAATAGAGACATACATGCTAGACATGTCCAAAACACATCGAATATATGATGGGAAACTAATTTAAAAAACGCTATAAACAAAAAATCGTAGGACTACTTACCGACTGTGCACTGCCATCGCTGAAGCTTGTTTTCGTCGTGGAACTGCACACTGCAGGGCGGACGCGCGCACAGCGTGTCACGTGACCTGGCTTCGACGTCAGTCGCTCACGTGATTACAGCTCTGACGCGTTTCCGGACAACTTTTTCTCGTGGCGGAAGAATTCGTTCTGTTTGCACTATACTTCGCTGGCGTCATGTGATAGAGCAAAGACACCCTACGGTGCGCACATTAATAGCGGTGGCTCTGGGCTGCTATTTGTAGACATTTGCGAACGACGGTGAAAAAAAAGACGCTCGTAATATCGAGTATCGTGATGGCGGAATCTATAATTTTAAAATGTGCGTTTTTAGAGAGAAAATTTAAAAGATGGGTTCCAACAGCATTCAAAGTAGCTGCGAAAAAAACTCGAGACGGCACTTATACATATTGACGTGCGTTTTCACAACTTGTAAATTTTCATTCATAAAACTACATAATGGACACAAAATCAGAACTATCTGAGCCATGGAGCACGCCACGTACTCAACTGGACGTACTCAAACTGTGATCCGCAGACTGGAGATGATCCGTCTTATCATTACTTTTATTTTAATTCACAAAAGTATTGGTCTGCGTGGTATTGGAATTGGGGGGGAACTGGGTGTGAGAACATTCCTCTGACGCGTGTTGCATCTATTGTTTTTTAAGTAAAACATTTCCAAATAGAAAAGTCTTTATGTAGTAGCCTATTGATCCCACATCTTACATATAAATTATTGTTATATAACTTTACATTTTTAAATTAAAAGGATTAGTTAGGCTATGTAAAACATATATGCTTATAAATTTAAATAATAAATTTATAGTTATAAACATTTAATCTGAATTTTAAAATAATTTGATTCTGTTCTCTTTTTAACAAGTTAATCTCGAAAAATAAATCGTCCTTGTCAGATCTCAACTGGTGAATTTCGCTATAGAATGTTACAGTGTTACGGAAGCGTAACTAAACAAAGTTCGCCAAACTGGTCCGCGGGCTGTCCACGCGGGTTGCCGCAAGAGGTAACCACGTGCTAGGAATAATGGTGAGTTCTGAACCGTTTCTACATTCTGGCGGGAGTGCGCGCTGTTTGCAGTAGTAGTTTACGGTAGAAGTCAACGTGGCGTGCTCCATGGCTCAGATAGTTCTGATTTTGTGTCCATTATGTAGTTTTATGAATGAAAATTTACAAGTTGTGAAAACGCACGTCAATATGTATAAGTGTCGTCTCAAGTTTTTTTCGCAGCTACTTTGAATGCTGTTGGAACCCATCTTTTAAATTTTCTCTCTAAAAACACACATTTTAAAATTATAGATTCCGCCATCACGATACTCGATATTACGAGCGTTTCCTCGCGTTTTTTTATGCAGCGCTCGAGAAGCGCTTTACAGCGAACACACTGAAACTGGTTTCTAATTGGCCAATACTGCTCGTTACGTCATTTCGCTACACTCTCGCTGCATAAAAAAACGCGGGGTCTTTTTTTTTACCGTCGTTCGCAAATGTCTACAAATAGCAGCCCAGAGCCACCGCTATTGATGTGCGCACCGTAGGGTGTCTTTGCTCTATCACGTGACGCCAGCGAAGTATAGTGCAAACAGAATGAATTCTTCCGCCATGAGAAAAAGTTGTCCGGAAACGCGTCAGAGCTGTAATCACGTGAGCGACTGACGTCGAAGCCAGGTCACGTGACACGCTGTGTGCGCGTCCGCCCTGCAGTGTGCAGTTCCACGACGAAAACAAGTTTCAGCGATGGCGGTGCACAGTCGGTAAGTAGTCCTACGATTTTTTGTTTATAGCGTTTTTTAAATTAGTTTGCCATCACATATTCGATGTGTTTTGGACATGTCTAGCATGTATGTCTCTATTGAAAATATAATTAAGAGGAAAATCGTTGGTGTTTCCTAAGTAAAGCATTACCGTTTTTTTTAACAAAAACTGATAACAGATGGAACAAAACACAATTTTATTTGTTTGCTTAATAATTGTAAAAGATTTTTTTAAAATAAAAACTCATAACAGCCAGAAAAATTATGCAAGTCTTGTTGATAGATTATTTTGCAGTTAGTAATCAATTTGGCCCACCAGTGGCCAAGCAGTTCTATTCCTTGAACACTGGAAGTTTGGTCATGGGTTTGCACCTTGCCAGGACAGGCTGGTTTTTTGGGTTTTCTCCACTACTGTAATGCCTGAATAGGGGCAAGTTACTCTTAAAAAAGATCCTCCTAGGCAGATTGCTCAAGTGTTGCATTGCCATAACTTACAAAATAAATAGTAATCAATGTATAGGAAAAATTATGTGAACAGTTTTACAAATTCTACTAAGTGTAGGTACAGTACACACTAAGTAGGTTAAATGGATTGTTTTGGTATAAAAACACTTGTGTACTGGCTGCTTTGATCATTTGGCTAGCAGCATCAGATATGAAATGGTACACTCTATCATAATGTGTTCTGTTGGCCACAGAATTTTTAGTGGCTGAATGATTGATTGCTTCTATGAAAATTGTATGGAGCAAATATATATTTTCAGTTGCTGCCTCTGTACTTTCAAATGCCTTTTCAAGCACATCAACTTTCACTTTGACCAAATTTCTGCCTGTTGAATCTATGGTTTTGTCAACAGGTATCCACAGATTTTTGTTTGTTTGTTTTAATTGTATTAATGGTTTCATTGTACAGTACAGATCACTGATATAGTAATTTTGAAGATTTGATTCATATAGTATGTTTTTCATTTGTATATTACTGATGGAAATTCTTAAACACAGCATTAGTGAGTTAGTAAGATGTGAACTCTTGAGTGAGGGATTTGTTATCTTCTGCAAAGTAACTATGCAGGGGCTGACAAATCCCTCACTACTTCACTATGAGCAAAAAGTCAATGGTACCATACCTGTACATGTGATCCTTTGTGAAATATTTATTTCCGAAGGTCGGTTTTTACTGTGAACCAGTATCCTGCCTATTTTCCATGTTTCCTGTCGGTCAAGACAAGCAATAGCAAGCCTTGATTGATGCTCCATATGTAATCATGCACTGGGGGATGAGTTCCCTAAAACTATGCATCAAGTACTCCATGAAGTCAAGTGATTAATCAAGGCCTGCATATGCTAAATAGATAAACACGGTAGTCAGTGTAGTAACATGACTGGAAGTAGGTTGATTTTGGGGGGCTATAACTTGCAAAGGGTCACATGTAGAGATAGGGTTCCTTTTGACTTTTTTATTTTTATGGGTATGGTCTACAGCTCTGATAATGTTCAACCATCATTCAGAGGTACAGTAAGACTTTGATTATCGTTGATTTTTTTTTTTTTTTGTGAAAAATTTGCCTCAGATTTTGCCAACATTCCCACCACATGTCCTCACTGCTAATTTTGCAAAACCGCGTGTTTTCCTGCTCAGTGTGATGTTGTCTCTCGTGTGAGCATTATCACATATGTCTAGCAAAACAATGGGCATATCAAAAACTCAGTGCACAGCCAGCACCTCTGTTAAAAATTTCAGATAACTTTTGGTTCCTTCCAGCAAACTGTAAGCATCTTTTTCTGTACTCGATACACCAGCAAACAAGATGGCAGCCACCACGAGGCTCGTAAAAGCTCTATTTTTGTTGACAATTTTGTATTTAATTTATTTGTTGATGAATAAACCCTGAATAAATTAATATTTGGTTAGTACATTAAGAGAATATTTTAATATACTAGTATATTTACGAGGGTCATCCAGAAAGTAACGACCATTTTGTTTTAATAAATGAAAGAAATATATTTTATTAACAAAAATGTGTCACATACCAAATTGAAGCTTGGTCTATTTATCTACATAATCACTGTCATTATTTAAGTATTTGTCGTATCTGTTTGAGCTTTAGAATTTCTGTGTCATAGTAGGCTGCTGCCAGTCCATTAAGCCAGTTTACTGCATTCTTCACCTTGTCATCACTTCCAAAACATTTGGAGAAAGTAACTTTTAAAGACAGAAAGATAGAGCATGTAGCAATGCAGTAATTAGTCTACTTATAATCTAGAAAGTTTGTGAAAGCAATAATGTGACACATTCCAGTTACTTTCTTGAAAGTAGTAAGTCTAGAAAAGTTTTGAAAGCAAGTAAATGTACTTTAATAAGCAGAATATTGAAAATATGCATTTGTAACTTCTGAATCTTGGTTTACTGGATCTTTAGATCTCTAATTAAAACTCAAATATGCATTTGTGTAAAAAAATCCAAGCCCTACTTATAACACATTATGGTATAAATATAAAAATCAATTTTAAATTTATATCTGCTTTTCAAATTTAAAAAAGTAGGATGTGGTATTTCATAATTAAGAATTAGTTGCAAAGTATTAGCATCTTTTCATATTTTCTTTGTACAAAATTTTATAGAAACATTTCACTTGAAATAGCTGAAAAAATAAAATGATGAAATTTGCGTGTCATCTGTAATTTATTGATGAATATTTTAAAATAAACTGATATTTTTATTTATGTTATGTATATGTATATATAGGATTTTAAATATTTGTTTGTCTTTATGAATTTATTTTAATTTCAGATTGGAGTGAGTAGAATTCACACTGTTAGAACAAGAGGAGGGAATAAAAAGTATCGTGCATTAAGGCTTGACCATGGAAATTTTGCATGGGCATCTGAGCGTGAGTATATATTAATAAAAAATAATTTTGTGTAATTTAATTCATGATGATAATATCATTACATATATACAATATGATGATTATCCTACAGCGCACTGATAGGTTATAATTCTCTCATTTATTAAATATATTTAACTGGATTAGCATTTATGTAGAATTTGTTTTATTTTAGATTGCACTCGCAAGACTAGAATAATTGATACTGTTTATAATGCAAGTAACAATGAATTAGTGCGTACCAAAACATTAGTTAAGAATGCAATTGTACTGATTGATGCTACTCCCTTCCGACAATGGTATGAAGCTCATTATGCACTTCCACTTGGAAGGAAGAAGGGAGCCAAATTGGTAAGTTTCAAAATTTACAATTATCTATTTCAACATTATATAAATTTAAAAAGTTTATTTTACTATACTATTATTCAAACTTGTAGACAGAGGCTGAAGAAGCAGTTCTAAATAAGAAACGAAGTAAAAAGACTGAGAAGAAATATAAAGAACGTCAGAAAATTGCTAAAGTTGAACCTGCTCTCGAAGATCAGTTTATGACTGGACGAATGCTTGGTGAGAAAATATTGTAACTTTGTTATAAAACTATCTTAACTTTTTGTTTACTTTTATTTATTTATTAGTTTGAAATGCTTATGTAAAATATTTATGATTACAGATATTACATAGTTTATTAGAAACATCTTTTGTTTTAAACTTCTTACAGTTTGTTTGAAACAAACCTTTTCATCTTTATACTGTGCTTTAATTCTATATTTTCACTATTAATATATATGGTCAAAATACAGTCATTTTCTAGGAATTGTCATATCCACAGACTCCATAATCACCAATCAATCAACAACTTTATTTAACCCAGGTGTGTTTTAGAAATTACAGTACAGTAGAGCGTTGTTTATCCAAATCAATTGGGGACTGGGGATGTTCGAATAACTGATTACATACAAAAAAATATATTAACCTATCTCATGTTGAAATTTTTCCCCATTGCGTGTCGCTTTGCGTTGAATTTTCGTCGATGTTAAGCCTAATGTAAACTTTTTAAAATAATAATTGTAGCTATTGTATCGTTAAAAATTTTTTCTTTATTTTTTACGAGCAAAATAAATATATTGAAAAATATAAAAACAAAAAAATGATACTTTAGAAGTTAATCTAGTATCAAAAACATTCTATTCAGCATGACACACATCCTCATAAAAACACCACACAAAGCTGCCAGTCCTGCCAGCTAAAGCACACATGAACAAAAAAAAATGTTGGAGTAGCCCAAGATAGATATAGCCAAAGATTGCAGTGCCACAGCACTAGCGCAAAATTTAAATTTGCCAACTGGAATTCTTTTGGATAACTGACATTTCAGAAAAATGACGCTCTGCTGTATTTCTTTTCTCAGTGAGTTTTCTTCCATACAAGCAAAACAAGGCTCAAACAATTGTGAAGGCTGGGAATTCCTTAGCCTACAGAAATCACAACTTCACATAAGATGCAGTGCAAGTTTTGTCAAAAAAAAATTCTTATATGCTGTTAAATACAATAATTTATTTTAAATATATTAATAAATATTTTTTTAATATACAGGTAACCCCCGTATAACNCAAGTTAATCTCGAAAAATAAATCGTCCTTGTCAGATCTCAACTGGTGAATTTCGCTATAGAATGTTACAGTGTTACGGAAGCGTAACTAAACAAAGTTCGCCAAACTGGTCCGCGGGCTGTCCACGCGGGTTGCCGCAAGAGGTAACCACGTGCTAGGAATAATGGTGAGTTCTGAACCGTTTCTACATTCTGGCGGGAGTGCGCGCTGTTTGCAGTAGTAGTTTACGGTAGAAGTCAACGTGGCGTGCTCCATGGCTCAGATAGTTCTGATTTTGTGTCCATTATGTAGTTTTATGAATGAAAATTTACAAGTTGTGAAAACGCACGTCAATATGTATAAGTGTCGTCTCAAGTTTTTTTCGCAGCTACTTTGAATGCTGTTGGAACCCATCTTTTAAATTTTCTCTCTAAAAACACACATTTTAAAATTATAGATTCCGCCATCACGATACTCGATATTACGAGCGTTTCCTCGCGTTTTTTTATGCAGCGCTCGAGAAGCGCTTTACAGCGAACACACTGAAACTGGTTTCTAATTGGCCAATACTGCTCGTTACGTCATTTCGCTACACTCTCGCTGCATAAAAAAACGCGGGGTCTTTTTTTTTACCGTCGTTCGCAAATGTCTACAAATAGCAGCCCAGAGCCACCGCTATTGATGTGCGCACCGTAGGGTGTCTTTGCTCTATCACGTGACGCCAGCGAAGTATAGTGCAAACAGAATGAATTCTTCCGCCATGAGAAAAAGTTGTCCGGAAACGCGTCAGAGCTGTAATCACGTGAGCGACTGACGTCGAAGCCAGGTCACGTGACACGCTGTGTGCGCGTCCGCCCTGCAGTGTGCAGTTCCACGACGAAAACAAGTTTCAGCGATGGCGGTGCACAGTCGGTAAGTAGTCCTACGATTTTTTGTTTATAGCGTTTTTTAAATTAGTTTCCCATCATATATTCGATGTGTTTTGGACATGTCTAGCATGTATGTCTCTATTGAAAATATAATTAAGAGGAAAATCGTTGGTGTTTCCTAAGTAAAGCATTACCGTTTTTTTTAACAAAAACTGATAACAGATGGAACAAAACACAATTTTATTTGTTTGCTTAATAATTGTAAAAGATTTTTTTAAAATAAAAACTCATAACAGCCAGAAAAATTATGCAAGTCTTGTTGATAGATTATTTTGCAGTTAGTAATCAATTTGGCCCACCAGTGGCCAAGCAGTTCTATTCCTTGAACACTGGAAGTTTGGTCATGGGTTTGCACCTTGCCAGGACAGGCTGGTTTTTTGGGTTTTCTCCACTACTGTAATGCCTGAATAGGGGCAAGTTACTCTTAAAAAAGATCCTCCTAGGCAGATTGCTCAAGTGTTGCATTGCCATAACTTACAAAATAAATAGTAATCAATGTATAGGAAAAATTATGTGAACAGTTTTACAAATTCTACTAAGTGTAGGTACAGTACACGCTAAGTAGGTTAAATGGATTGTTTTGGTATAAAAACACTTGTGTACTGGCTGCTTTGATCATTTAGCTAGCAGCATCAGATATGAAATGGTACACTCTATCATAATGTGTTCTGTTTGGCCACAGAATTTTTAGTGGCTGAATGATTGATTGCTTCTATGAAAATTGTATGGAGCAAATATATATTTTCAGTTGCTGCCTCTGTACTTTCAAATGCCTTTTCAAGCACGTCAACTTTCACTTTGACCAAATTTCTGCCTATTGAATCTATGGTTTTGTCAACAGGTATCCACAGATTTTGTTTGTTTGTTTTAATTGTATTAATGGTTTCATTGTACAGTACAGATCACTGATATAGTAATTTTGAAGATTTGATTCATATAGTATGTTTTTCATTTGTATATTACTGATGGAAATTCTTAAACACAGCATTAGTGAGTTAGTAAGATGTGAACTCTTGAGTGAGGGATTTGTTATCTTCTGCAAAGTAACTATGCAGGGGCTGACAAATCCCTCACTACTTCACTATGAGCAAAAAGTCAATGGTACCATACCTGTACATGTGATCCTTTGTGAAATATTTATTTCCGAAGGTCGGTTTTTACTGTGAACCAGTATCCTGCCTATTTTCCATGTTTCCTGTCGGTCAAGACAAGCAATAGCAAGCCTTGATTGATGCTCCATATGTAATCATGCACTGGGGGATGAGTTCCCTAAAACTATGCATCAAGTACTCCATGAAGTCAAGTGATTAATCAAGGCCTGCATATGCTAAATAGATAAACACGGTAGTCAGTGTAGTAACATGACTGGAAGTAGGTTGATTTTGGGGGGCTATAACTTGCAAAGGGTCACATGTAGAGATAGGGTTCCTTTTGACTTTTTTATTTTTATGGGTATGGTCTACAGCTCTGATAATGTTCAACCATCATTCAGAGGTACAGTAAGACTTTGATTATCGTTGATTTTTTTTTTTTTTTGTGAAAAATTTGCCTCAGATTTTGCCAACATTCCCACCACATGTCCTCACTGCTAATTTTGCAAAACCGCGTGTTTTCCTGCTCAGTGTGATGTTGTCTCTCGTGTGAGCATTATCACATATGTCTAGCAAAACAATGGGCATATCAAAAACTCAGTGCACAGCCAGCACCTCTGTTAAAAATTTCAGATAACTTTTGGTTCCTTCCAGCAAACTGTAAGCATCTTTTTCTGTACTCGATACACCAGCAAACAAGATGGCAGCCACCACGAGGCTCGTAAAAGCTCTATTTTTGTTGACAATTTTGTATTTAATTTATTTGTTGATGAATAAACCCTGAATAAATTAATATTTGGTTAGTACATTAAGAGAATATTTTAATATACTAGTATATTTACGAGGGTCATCCAGAAAGTAACGACCATTTTGTTTTAATAAATGAAAGAAATATATTTTATTAACAAAAATGTGTCACATACCAAATTGAAGCTTGGTCTATTTATCTACATAATCACTGTCATTATTTAAGTATTTGTCATATCTGTTTGAGCTTTAGAATTTCTGTGTCATAGTAGGCTGCTGCCAGTCCATTAAGCCAGTTTACTGCATTCTTCACCTTGTCATCACTTCCAAAACATTTGGAGAAAGTAACTTTTAAAGACAGAAAGATAGAGCATGTAGCAATGCAGTAATTAGTCTACTTATAATCTAGAAAGTTTGTGAAAGCAATAATGTGACACATTCCAGTTACTTTCTTGAAAGTAGTAAGTCTAGAAAAGTTTTGAAAGCAAGTAAATGTACTTTAATAAGCAGAATATTGAAAATATGCATTTGTAACTTCTGAATCTTGGGTTACTGGATCTTTAGATCTCTAATTAAAACTCAAATATGCATTTGTGTAAAAAAATCCAAGCCCTACTTATAACACATTATGGTATAAATATAAAAATCAATTTTAAATTTATATCTGCTTTTCAAATTTAAAAAAGTAGGGTGTGGTATTTCATAATTAAGAATTAGTTGCAAAGTATTAGCATCTTTTCATATTTTCTTTGTACAAAATTTTATAGAAACATTTCACTTGAAATAGCTGAAAAAATAAAATGATGAAATTTGCGTGTCATCTGTAATTTATTGATGAATATTTTAAAATAAACTGATATTTTTATTTATGTTATGTATATGTATATATAGGATTTTAAATATTTGTTTGTCTTTATGAATTTATTTTAATTTCAGATTGGAGTGAGTAGAATTCACACTGTTAGAACAAGAGGAGGGAATAAAAAGTATCGTGCATTAAGGCTTGACCATGGAAATTTTGCATGGGCATCTGAGCGTGAGTATATATTAATAAAAAATAATTTTGTGTAATTTAATTCATGATGATAATATCATTACATATATACAATATGATGATTATCCTACAGCGCACTGATAGGTTATAATTCTCTCATTTATTAAATATATTTAACTGGATTAGCATTTATGTAGAATTTGTTTTATTTTAGATTGCACTCGCAAGACTAGAATAATTGATACTGTTTATAATGCAAGTAACAATGAATTAGTGCGTACCAAAACATTAGTTAAGAATGCAATTGTACTGATTGATGCTACTCCCTTCCGACAATGGTATGAAGCTCATTATGCACTTCCACTTGGAAGGAAGAAGGGAGCCAAATTGGTAAGTTTCAAAATTTACAATTATCTATTTCAACATTATATAAATTTAAAAAGTTTATTTTACTATACTATTATTCAAACTTGTAGACAGAGGCTGAAGAAGCAGTTCTAAATAAGAAACGAAGTAAAAAGACTGAGAAGAAATATAAAGAACGTCAGAAAATTGCTAAAGTTGAACCTGCTCTCGAAGATCAGTTTATGACTGGACGAATGCTTGGTGAGAAAATATTGTAACTTTGTTATAAAACTATCTTAACTTTTTGTTTACTTTTATTTATTTATTAGTTTGAAATGCTTATGTAAAATATTTATGATTACAGATATTACATAGTTTATTAGAAACATCTTTTGTTTTAAACTTCTTACAGTTTGTTTGAAACAAACCTTTTCATCTTTATACTGTGCTTTAATTCTATATTTTCACTATTAATATATATGGTCAAAATACAGTCATTTTCTAGGAATTGTCATATCCACAGACTCCATAATCACCAATCAATCAACAACTTTATTTAACCCAGGTGTGTTTTAGAAATTACAGTACAGTAGAGCGTTGTTTATCCAAATCAATTGGGGACTGGGGATGTTCGAATAACTGATTACATACAAAAAAATATATTAACCTATCCCATGTTGAAATTTTTCTCCATTGCGTGTCGCTTTGCGTTGAATTTTCGTCGATGTTAAGCCTAATGTAAACTTTTTAAAATAATAATTGTAGCTATTGTATCGTTAAAAATTTTTTCTTTATTTTTTACGAGCAAAATAAATATATTGAAAAATATAAAAACAAAAAAATGATACTTTAGAAGTTAATCTAGTATCAAAAACATTCTATTCAGCATGACACACATCCTCATAAAAACACCACACAAAGCTGCCAGTCCTGCCAGCTAAAGCACACATGAACAAAAAAAAATGTTGGAGTAGCCCAAGATAGATATAGCCAAAGATTGCAGTGCCACAGCACTAGCGCAAAATTTAAATTTGCCAACTGGAATTCTTTTGGA